GTGGAGGATTTTGTGCACTTGACTCATACCGATGCCTAAGCTTGTCCGAATCTGTTGATAGGTCACTCTTTTGTCAGTCTCTATCATACGCCGCACAACACAGATGTTATCTTCAGTCGTCGCCGTAGAAGGCCGTCCCTCACGTAAATCATCAGTGAGATTAGTGCGACCACGTTTAAACTCATTAAACCAGTTGTAAACAGTCGCACGAGATGGGGCTTCATCGTGAAAGGCCAATCGTAGTCTATCATAACTTTCTTGTTGACTTAAATGACATCGAAAGTCATAAAAAATCATTGCACGAAAATTTTCTCGTGTTAAATTCATGATGACGTGACACAGACAATTTTCAATTTGCCGCCAAATCGTAAAACAAATGACAAATGAATGAAATAATACTCAGTAATATTGGCAAAGAGTTATATTTTCAAATTTTAGAATTATTTTTTTATTATATTGTTTATAAGTGGCCAGTTCTAAGAACTTTCAGTTTGACCCTTGATTTGATTTTGATTTCAAAGCTTCCTTTCAATGTAAAATAATTCTAATGATACTTACATGTCTTAATGTATAATATCGTCTTGTAAAATATTCATTAATTACTACTGAGTTACAATAGCCAACATGTTGTTTGTTCGCATCTAAATCAAAGCTACATCTTTTTAAAATCTCACATAATAACTGATTAGTTTAATTGTTTCTCACTGGATGAACTGACTGATGAAATTTTATTTTATATTCGTGACACCTGTTGTATCTTAATAAATCAATTATCAATAATAAGATAATATAAAGGCTGATTCATACTACTTTCTAACTAATACGAAAGTAAATTTATCTATTTGTCTGTTGTAGAGATGGGCAAATTAAAGCTGCTGGTTAATTGAGTTTTAAGTAGGCAATTCTGCTAATGATTGCGTAATTATGGAAAGTCAATAGCGTTTCAACTACAACCTTTTATAATTTAGGTCTTGATATAAGATTACAAAATAATATATATCTGTCTCTATTAATTTGTGAGGCAGATATTACACTATTATTGGTCTTCAGGTAGATATAACAATTGGCAAAATGCAATGTGGTTGAGATTGCGAGAAAAAATTAAAAGAAATGAGACTAAACCGTCTCACCGATTATGATGAATCTTGGTTTAAATAGGCAGTTTGAAACCTGAGATAACTTCGGATATAGAGTATTATATCCAAAATATCAACAATACATTTTTATTCTACCGCGGGTATTAAAGTATTCCATAATAAGATAATAACATAAGTAATTGAAATACATTAAAGAAACAATGAGTTGTGATACAGAGGAAATAAAAAGACAAATTGTCAACAAACTCAAGGATGTAATTACACAATATTCAGTTGATGAGAAAAAAATATCAATATAAACAGACCATTCAAGGTAAATAGCAAATATCAGTGTCTTTTAGCGAGGTAAAAACCAAAACACAGAAAAGGGCTCGAAGTACCAGTTGCATGCGAAGACTTAGAAGTCTTTGGCTTCATGTTGTAACCTGGGGCTGTGGCAGGCGTATTATTATAACCAGCTATTAACCCGCAACTTTGTCGGCGGAAATTATATGCTATGTCACCCGCGTATGATACAGTTTCTTGTGGGTAAAAGATTTTTAAATCAATCTAGTAGTTTTGGAGAATAGAGCCCATTAGATGCAAACTAGTAATAATAGTATATATATTTATAAAAATTTTTATACAGCATCATCAATATTGCGAGATAAGTCACCAAAGTTTATTAGTGACTCATTTCGGTGGAATAGACTATACCTATTATTTATGCAGACAAAATCGCAGAAAAATAGCTAGTTACATATGTAGAGAACCACAATAATATAAATAGAGACGTAAAATGTTCAAAGCTCTATTTATAAAAAATTAAAGCTGTTAAACAGCGTGATTTATATTTAAGTATGTGTCATGGCCAGATTGTAGAATTGATCAATTCATGATGCGGCCGGTCATTTCATGAAATGGAAGAAACTTGCTGCCCATATCATGATGTGGCTTGGCCAGATCAATGAATAATGCGTTTCATATGGGCAGCTTATCGTATGACTGATTTATGATGTGGCCAAGTCTTAGTGATCATATTGTAAAATTACATTAGCCTCAGTAAGAGGCGCTGATGTTGCATTGTTTATACATGTTGTATATTGATTTTTAGGCTATACATACAACAAATTAAAGAAAGTAGGGTGGTAATGAAACGGAAAAAATTACTTGATTAAGCTCAGTGAGATAATTGTACGAGTGTAGTGCGAAAAATTATGATAAATACGGGATTTTGATCTAGCTCCTGAGGATGATATTGATATATTTCAATATATAAATGTTTTTGAGATATGAACTAGTTCACTACTGTAGGTCTCGTGTTGGGTGAGAAATTTGAAATTACGAGTTTTTAGAAGTATTTAATTCGAGGTTATTTTTTTCAGATCACAAATCATAACGTATAAACAAGCTTTTACAGCAAATTATGAGATATGACCAAACCTGGACTGCTATATTATTAAACGTTGATGCTTTAACGATATGATAAATTTTAGGCGGCCGATTAATGAAATACAACCATTTCATGAAATTGCCGACTGGATCACGTAATAATCAATTTTACGATATGGCTACGACATATTTTCAGTACCCAACGAAAACGACTTCAAATTTAGTTGAAAAAGAAAAAGTTATGCTGAAAGGAGGATAGCAGCATTCAAGAAACTTGTATTAAAGTCGGTTAATATTCATAACTTACAACGCCTGCATTTGAGTTAACTTGCTTAAACTACATATTTAGTACCTTACTTAAAATTTACAAATTTTATTAATATTATTATGGTTAATAACTTTTAAAAATTTTTTGGGGTATCATACTAACGCCAATAAACAAAAAAGGTCTAATTACACCTTACCTATATATATATCTTTAAAAACAATTGAATTATTATGATTATTACAAGAATTTTCTTTAATAAACATGATTATTATGCAATACAATGCTGTACTGAAAAATATTGTTAATGAAAAATTATTCAAAAATCCACCAGCCCTAGGTACTCTAAGATGGGACTCGAACCGACGACCGATCGCTTACTTAATTTGAATTGGTTAGTTAATAGTTTATTAAGACATCGATTGCTCAAAATAACTATATTATTGGATTTTTCTACGGTAGATATAGAACTTTAATTAAAATTAATTGTGTAAAAGTAACTAAATAAATAACTCTACTGTTATATTAAAAAGGCAAATATAAAATAGTATTAATGCGTCTAATTTTACTTACATATAAATATGGCTCCATAAAGACTTCATAAACATTGCTTTGGTAATCTTCGATGGCGGGCAGCGCTTTAATGATTAAATTTCTCCCATACCCTGGGATACCTTCGAAAGTCTTTCCATTCAAGACAGCCACTAACCAGAGTAACTGGCCGAAAAACACATGTATCCTCAGATTCATCGTAAAAAAAGTTAATTTGTAAAATAAAAATAAAAATTTCAAAAATAGAACACCTTTAGCGTCCTAACTGTTTAAGCCGCGATCTATCAATGATTACGCTACGCGGGAAGGAACCAAAGTTTTTCATTCGTAGGCGCGTCTGAAGCTTGTAAAGTTGTGATTATTCCTCACGAGATGACTCCAAGGCTTCGTAATCTTGACGCATGACGTAATGATAAGTTAGACACGGCATTGTTCAGGTTATTGAGTGGATGTCAGAAATTTTATCCGTTGTTAAGACATTGTCGTGCACAAGCAGTTATTAACAGCCTTCGAGGGCATAATTGCTGCGTTAAACGTTAGGTCGATTAATTTTCTGTTTATTCTCTGTGACTTGCGTCGTGTTTTAGTGGTGATATTGCAGCAGAATCACGTCAGGCGGATGTTTGGTTACTTACTTCCTAAAATCGTGGACATTTATCAATGACCTTTAGAAATTAAGCATCTACTAGTGTGCTGACTTAGTAGGTAAATGCTAGGAGAACTATGAATATGAGTTCAAAAATGCGAGAGCTTTACTTTGATAATTTTTTTTATATCTGTTAAAAAAATAACCAACAATCGGATTCATTATTTGGCATAACTAGCATCTTAAAGTAAACCGTGTCACGCGTTTTTCTCTTCCCCATCGCGTCAAATTTAGCTTTATTATCAAATTGCCCAATCGTTACATAGTAATATAATAATGACCGTGCAATGTGATAAAAAAATAAGTTTAGATAAAATTAATCACTTAGCTCGATATAGCTAGATATTAACAATGCCCGCATTAGGTCCATAACATAGATATTGGATTTTTTAATGATACCTTAAGAAAAATATAAGTACCGCTAAAAATTTTCTTTTTTCAAAAATATAACCGACTTCAAGCTTTATAAAAGTAAGAAATAATCTTAAAAACGTTTCATTATTCCAGAAACAGCTATTTAAAGCAGGCGGTTATCATTTTAATAAACTAAAGAAAATCTCCGCTCGACTTCAACAATAGTTTCTTCAATAATTAAAGCTCTTTTAAAAGAAGTATTATATCTCACTTTTTAAAAGTTAGATGTCGGTTACAAGTTTTTATAAAAAAAAAATGTATAAAGAATTCAGTCTAAGTGCAGTAATTAAAATTGAGAAAAAATCATTATATTTATAAAGGGGTAGGGGTAAACGTGAATTTACAAAAAAAAAAAAATATTTAATTATTATTTTATTTTTAAATTATGAGGTAACATTTTATAAAGCGAGGTTTTCTACCATTGCCACTGTCAGTCAACAGATGCCGCTAGACTTTAGAGGATTTTACAATTTCCACAAAGAAAACAAATTAAGATCAAAAACAATCTCCTTGGTCGCGACGCTGGACCAACTCATAAGTCACTGTACTGGAACACGACAGAAAAAAAAAAACGGACACCAATCATAACAATATGACGTCTGTCATTATGTCAAATAGTCCACCGCGAATATTCATGATGGATTAGTTGGCTGTAATGAATCGAGACTTTGTGTATAATCATGAAGACGACAGGCCGAGTGCATGGTCGCGGGCTGGTAGCACCCTGAACAGATGGCTGTGGGGCGCGCTCTGCTGCGGACTGCCAGGAGTACCTTGCTTCTTCTGCACCTGCTGTGAAAGACTCGATGACGTCACTGACCACGAACGGCCTAGAGTTAACCGTGTGTATTTACATCTTTATCTTCACGTGAGGCTGAAAGAAATCTGCGCGCTAGAGTGATAGCTACGACATTGCGCTATCACCTTTTTTATCAAGTTCCCGGTATTTAGGAGCTGTTAGAGCAATTCAAAAGTAACTGAAACAGACTAGAAACTTTCCGGAGAAACTTTGCGCAAGTTTTTCCGGAACCCTTTATAACTTTCCTACATGTTCTTTGATGATTATAGTTCTTGAAATTTCACTCCTGCAACGAGTGGCGATTTGATCGTCAAATCTAGATCCTTCCACTTTCCCGCTGTATATAATTTTCGTATGAACAAATAAAGCATGCCTCTGAATTTTTAAACCGACACTATTTATTAGGTTTACTTATTTAGGAATCTTTACCCAGCGGGTAAAAACGAGACCTTCTTTCATGACTCCTTTATTCATCTATCTGTTACCGGTCGTATCTCGTGAACCATGATAGATAGACACTTGAATTTTGCACAGATGATATATTTCCGTTGCCGCTAAAACAACAAATACTATAAACAGAATAAAATATATGTTAAACATTACTTTTCAGTTTCTTAACAATTTCTTGTTAGTAAGAGTGAGCGTTTTGTAGTACCTACCTTATTCTAATTACCAACTGAAATTATTTTTAGAATCAACGGCTACAGCTGAACGCATCAGCAGACCGCACAGGCCGCACGCTCCTAGAGGACGCAAATCAACGCCAGAGATGTTGTCAGCTGTTCGCTGCGCCCTCAGTCAGCTGCAAGGGGAGCCGGCGCCGCCGCTGCCATCCTGCAAGACCGCCGCCAGCCCACTCTCGCCCACTCCTGAACCCGGCTGAGCGAACAGAGGACTGATGCACATTGTTGGTTAATCGTTTCACCCATGAAAGATATGCTTCATATTTCATGTGAATATATAATCTAGGTCTTCTATAAACCACTACAATCTATGCGCAACTACGTGGTTTTTGAAGTTTCATAAGTTGATCAGATTTTAACGTAAATTCATTAATACTTGGTTATTTTTTATCGAATTTTCTTTGGATAAAGACATTTACTGAAATATTATGAATGTTTATTGAAAATCTGAATCCCTTCAGCTGTTTTCAAGCGTTGTTACAGAAAAAAGTTTTCATAAGATTAAATACCTTTGGCGGGAAGATTGTAGTTTCAAAAAAGAAATGTTACTTTATGAAAGTGAAACTACAAGCCCGTTGTATGCATTAGAATCTTTTCAAGAATTCTATTTACTTTTATGGATATTGTTTGAATCAGCAATGTGCATTTAGTCCTGTTAATTATAGTCGTTAAACATAAGAAGAAAGCTATTCTATTCTAAACTTGTAACTATAGTTTGTAAAAGTTCATAAATTCCTTATAATAAATAACCTTCATAGGAAGTAAATTGGGTTAATTTTATAACGAAGCGTTCGTTATTAGTTGTACAGCGATTTATTTTAAATATTATTTTTAATTCGTACACTTAAATATATATATTTTTATATTTAATACATATAGTGTTGTTATCATTTATCCCCTTTTTTAAACAGATTATTCTATGTAAATAAAAATAAATCGCCGAAATTTATGTATGTAACGTATATATAGACAGACAGATGGATAACCTTTATTGTTAACACCGAATACGAAAGATACATAGAACAAAAAACAAATTATTAAGATAATCGGCGGTCTTATCACTATACAGCAATCTTCCAGACAACCTTTGGAAGGGGAGATGAACTGTCTTAAAAGTATGGGGTTGTATAATAATCTATGATTACAATAGATATTAAATAAATATAATATATCTTAAACAAACATACCGTCATATACTTACATAGGTGTATACATAATTAAAAAAAAGAACAAGGTTTGTAGAAATATAATTTCCAAAAAACCATCCAGGACCTGTAGCTAGTAAACAGTAATTTTGTGTATGAAATATACTAGTGTACGCCATCTATTACGAATCTACTACACCATATATTTCCTTGAACAAATTGGCACGATACTTTTAGTAGGTATGCTTTATAAAGCTTCTTTTCTACTAGAACATTCTTGATTTGAGAAATCCACGCAAGATGTCGTCTAAAGCATTATAATAAATTTTATGAAAGTACGGTTGTATTATAACTAATTTTAGTTGTAATACACATCAACAAAATCGGAAAAACATTGTATATGGTAGAACAATATTATCAAATTTAAGGACATTGATCATATGAGTAAGACAACGAAATTATCTTCTAACGTGGCTTTCTGTTTGAGCTTTGAAGGTTTCAAATGAACTTGAAAATTAGCTAGATACTCGATTTAATTATGTTAAATCGCTTACTTGGAAGTCAAATGTACAAGGTGGTTTCCGCTAAATGGTTTATGTTTGACATCATAACATCACCTAAGGCAGTAAAACAACCTCGAAGCCTTACGCGATGGTAAAAAATCAGCTGATGCCTTCTCGCTCCAACATTAGTGTCTACGCCGCGTTACTCTATGTGCAGTTGTGTTTGTTGTTTAGTGCTTGAGGAAACTTGGTAAGTTTTTAATACGTATTACAATTTAACATGGAAATAAGAAATCTTAAACTACCATTTGAAAACACTTTTTTGGTGGTACGGCGCGGCGTTTTATCGTACTATTTTCTTATAACCCCAAGATGTATTGAAGCATAATTAAAAGTAATGCTTGGATATTCTAGAAAGTTGTTTGCTAACTGCAACAATATCTCAATTGTTAAAGTTACATACTTTTGTTTTTGGTTGTAATAAATTCCATTCCTTTAATTGAGAGCCCAAAAGTTCTGCCAAATCATTGAGATCTCCTTGATATAGTAGATGTGTCTCTTTAGATGAAGAAGCTTCTTGAAAGTCAGGATCTAATGTGTCGTTTTCACTGTTACTGGCGTAGTAGCCTGATCGAAACTTTTTGGTGGTTCTGGTACAGGTAGTTACTCACTGTGAGGGATCGGTCTTTTAGCAGATGGTATGTCAGGATACTTAATTTTACTTCTTGTTTTAATTGTAATACCTTTTATATCAGTAACACAAAAATAACAATCAAATGAGTGATTTGTTGGTTCTTTCCAAATTGCAAGGATTGCAAAAGGCATAGATCGAGATCTTCTCGCCCATCCAGTAAGATGACCCACACATGTAACACAGCAAATGTGTGGAACCCACGCTTTGTCTTGCTGTCCGATTGTAAAGCCAAAATACTCTTCATATAACTTAGTTACAAATGGTGTCAAATTCTTTCGCTGAGTTTTAAAAGTAATGTTACCACAAATGTAACAAAACCTGTTAGGATCATTTTTACACTATCTTGACATTATTTAAGAATCACTTAACTCAAAAAACAAAACAAAATCTATACTTTTACAATAAATCAAATTTCAGAATGCAAAAGTGGAACAAATATCAGTAATTTTTAATTTTACGGGTAACACAAAAACTAGACCTGATGAAATCAAAATAAATATGGTGATAAAATGAGGGTAGGTAGGTTATTCAAAAATATTAAGTACCTTTCTTGTTACAAAATTTTGTTGACCAGTGTAATATATCATCCTCTTAATATTTCAATGAAAAATATTTGTTGGTTAAACACGATGTAAAATGATCTAATTGAATTTGGAGATATCTTAGCCCTGTTATTTTTAATAGGTGTTAATAGGATTTGGGTAAAACCAATTGTTGTATTCACAATAATACTGTTCCTATGTATAAAAGTCCTTGAATTTATATTGTTCAATTACGTGTTAATTTTGTTAATTCAGTTAGAATCCTATAAACATTTCCTGGTATATCACGATCTATTATATATTCCACGGTTCCATTTATTCACAATAAATTATGAAACTTTAATTTAATGAAGATTATTTTTTATATAAAAAGTACCAAAATAACAGAAGCAAAAGCGGGGAGGTTTAAGCCAGCGATGTGGAGGCTAAGGAACTTTTGCAATGGCTCCATTTGCAATTGTTAACAACCACGTAATTCTCACGAAGCCCACATTGTGGACCAGGATCCAGTATTTTTTTTTTAAATGACCATCATTGCAGTGGGGGGGGGATTGAGTATTCGTAATCCCACAATCCCACAAGGAGAACTTCTCCCTTTACGGAAGGCGTATGTATCAGCTTGATGATCATTACTGTTTAAGCGAGTCACTTGTATAGATGATATTTGTAGATCGTGAATTGAAAAAAAAAGTGTTGAATTATTTATGAAGTCATGATATATTTGATCAGTTAGCCGACGAGTTAATTAATTCTAAACTATGTCAAGTGCAACAGCAAATGGATCACGTACGTTAGCCTTTGACGAAGCGATCTGTGCATAGGGTTGGCATTTATATTAATTGTTACTGGTGTTACTCTCGTCGCGTATCATGTAGGTGAAAAAAAAAATGTTTTAAGCTCTAGAAGTTTCAAAAATAGTTTAGCAAATCTACATTTATTTTATTATTTTAGTAACCTACAAAAATCCTCTGTCCTATTTCAATAGCATTTTTGAATAAGTAGCTTTTGAGATAAATATTTTTATTACTTTTTTAAAAGTTTGAAGTCGGCTCATTTTTTGAAAAGTTGTTTCTATAATTATGATAAAACTAAGGCACTATAGAACAAAAATTAGTTGAAGAACTATGTTAGTAATAACATTAAAAATATTTTATTAGATATATTTCACGTATATCTATTAAATAAAACTAAAAAAAAAGTTATCTACACCCCTATTCGATAATGGCAGACCTGCTTGTTAGTTGATTAATGTGAAGCAGCATCTTGTGTAACATATAGATCGGACCAGTACCGCCTCAGGTATAAGGTGTGGTCCATGTGTCGAATATTGCTTATTTCAGGTTATAAATATTACAACACCTATTGCATATGATCCTTACCCAATATTGTACTAGTCCCCTTGCGCGACATCATATGTTTATCGAAACGCTATATACTCAATAGCTATCAAAACGTTTTCATTCATTGTTTTTCTCTCTATATTTATAATGTATTGATTGTTTCTCTCTCCATGTTTATAATGTATTTTCTCTCCCTATTTATAATGTATTAATCTGGTATTGACATGGTTTTTGTAAATGTCATTACTCCTATTAGAGCTGGTGAGTTTCTTGCTCGTTCTTCTTATCAGCCAAAAGACGTCCTGAACAAGCGGTAGGGAAAAAAATGTTGGACGATTCAATAGCATTTTTAAGAAGTCTATTTGAATAAAGATTATTTTGACATTGACTTTGACTTTGTTATACAGCGAAAGTGATAATTTATAAAGCGGTTTTGTTTTACTACAGGCTTTGAGAATCAGTCGAAATGGTTGAAGTATCGCTCGTAGAACCAATAGTTTTAATGGCTAACGATATCGATACTTCACATTTTACAATACTATTGGTTATTTATAAAAAGTAATATAAGATTGCTTTTTAATATAGAATGACTGAAACAATTTAAAATAGAACAATTGACTGTATTCAGGAATGATCTCTCCATAGGTTATTTAACATAATCAATGAATTGTTCATTGAATCCTAGAATGGGTTTTCCAGAGGCTTTGTGTTCAGTTTATGTGAGATTAATTTAGTGTCATTTAGTGTCATTTAGCGTCCATTTACTACAGACTTGTTTTTTTTTTGTAAATAAATATGAAGAGGATAGACGATATGAGATTTCGATTCCAAAAAGGTAGAAGAAATTTTATATACTTGACTGCCCTAGGTAAATTCAAATCAACCAATAAAACAACTTTAAACGTTTTCGGTGCGTTTATATTTCCTTTCATGACATTTCGGACAACACGGAACGTGTATAGGAGCCGAAACGTCA